TTTGTTTATGTAATATAAATACAATGACATTGTAATAGGGTTTTTTCGCTAATATAATCTTTTTTATTTTTATTAAAAAACTAAGGATAGTTTTTAGAAAATTTTCAACTATAAATCCTCCTGTATGGGTTTCGCATTTATGAATCTACGTTTTCGCGTTTTATTCCACATGTGTGCAGAACAATTATAACATAACAGTCCTTAAAGTTCTAAAAGAACATGTTAATTTACGGCTTCCGAACTTCAAGAACGATGGCAAACCATTGCTTCTAATTTTAACGATACCTGGCAATTTCCTCACTTTTGGGAGTCTTAAATGGTCGACCCATTACATGTAGGGCTCTTATTTCTTATGGTAATTATTATTACAGCTATAGAGGCACCAACACCCTAGTGTTGGTAGCTTTGGTGGACGCGCATTATGTATTTCGCTGTGTTAATACAGGAGTGAATGGCAGAACAACAGCTCATCAGGAATTGCTTTAAAAGAAAGTACCAACGTTTAAATCTACCATCATCAGAAACTTTGTCAAGACAGGATGTTGTACCACCATATTTAATTATAGCCAACGATGATGTCTTTCCTAGTTTGAAAAATTCGATTAAATCATGTTCTGTGAAAAGATTTCAGACCATGAAAAACAAATATAATTATAAGCTATCCCCGAGTTAGACGTATGTTAGAAGGTACTTCTGGCATTTTGACAAGTCGATTTCGCGTCTTATTACACCGTATAAATTTATCTCTTGACAAAGTAGAAATTATTACGCTAACTTGCGTCTTCCGTCATAATTTCTTAGCCACACATAATTCCAAAGTACGTACAGAGTTAGTAAAATACTTAAAACCAAATGTTATGACATGTCCTTTCTGCATAAAGCGATTCAAATATAGTTTAAGGCTGTACATTGTACAGTAAACCAGGTCTAAGTCATTGGAAATAGTGTTGGTGTATATCTAGCCATGCGGGCATATGGCGAATTACAGCTGTAGAATGTACGAGGAAAACCAATGGCTAGAGTTTCATGTATCCGGGTATAGTAGGTGGGACCTCTTTGGGTAAACATACTGTTACGAAATAAATCTATACGTCGCCCCGGTACGACGCCTATGGGGTCTAATATGTACGTCGCCGATGACTCATTGTCGCAGGACGGCGGCCGGAGAAGAGCCTGGAAGCGGCAGTGGCGAATGAGTGTTCCAGAAAAAAATAGAAGCGCTGACGTAGGCGTTTTGAAAAGGACCGCGTGTTGTTTAAATGGAAACCACCGTCGGAAGCAGTGTAGTCCAGACAGAGAGAGCTGAACTCAGGTGGTTATTCAGTCGAGTCGTGTCCAAAGAGTGTGGAGAAAACCCAGTGAATGTTGCGCCGGAATTATGTTCTACATAATCGCTCTGTAATTAGTCGTGTAAATCCGAGTTACTAAGAAATAAATTGTTGAGTTTTACCCACGCCGATTTTATTCATCGATCAACGTAACAATACTAACAATTTTGAGGCAGTCGATTTTGCTATGTAAAAAGCCTAAAATTATAGCTTGACGTTGACAACGAGTTTCAAGTGATTGAAGGCCAATTAGGTGCAGTCTCTCACAATACGTGTAATAGTTTTTGTAAAAGTTCATTTTAGTAAAATAAAGTTTACCAGTTTTCTCTGAATTTTTTCAATTCTATCAAAATGTGTTTTATACATATAAAAGATTCCAAATTATACTGCAGTACTCAAGAACTGATTTCACTAAGCAACAAAATAATTTAATAATTACTACCCCTGCTATATTGTTAGTTTGTGACAAAACCACACAGACTTTTATTTAGAATATTGCCGATGTGGGCGCTGAAATTTAAGTTGTGATCCAATGTAACACCAATGTGTAGTCTACATTGACAACTTTCATATGAAACAAATTTTCCACTAACAAAAGGTGGTCGCAGAGAGAAAGCAACTTGTAATGTTGTTAACAGACATTAAAAAAAGCACCGGACATTGGTGACTGTCTTACCGTACCCGAAGTTACGTTAATAACTTTCTATTAATAACCACTTATACTGACTACTACTGATCACACCATAGCATTTTAATTTTTATTTAAAAGAAGTTGTATATCGACCCGATCAAAAACCTTACAGCAGTCAGTGTACATGGCATCAATTCTAGGAAGGTAGAATATTTTACCCCCCCTAGCATTAACTTGATATTCCTATTCCATTGATTTGTTTATACTTATATGTAATTGGCATACTCAAATAGGTTTATTGCTGTACTGCGGTTAGGTAGAAAATCATGTTGATGAATGGAAATGCTATTTTTACATGTTGAGACGAAATAGTCAGAAACGATGGAATCAAGGACTTTTTGTAATTTTTTACATTGTTTTTGAAACCAATTTATGTAGAGGAATAACAGATGAAGGTTTTCATTGTTCAGGATATATACCAGAATCGAAAAAAAGTTGAATGAAAGGAAGGGTAATTGGCCAGGTAAGGGTTGGATTGCAATGTTTTATAAAGAAAGTAAGGATACCATCCGGCCCGGGATTCAAGTTATTTTTTAAGTTAGACAATTTATGATATACCGAGACTATTATTACAATGGAATTCTAGCGAATAAATTCTATCAAAAATGTGCAAAATATAATGAGTCTATATTTGCGATTGATCATTGTCTTCATATTTTTAGAACTGCTTTTACAGGGTGAGTCAAAAAAAATGAATGAGTCAATTTATTTTATGGATTAAATCAGGAACTACAAAGTCGGATCCTTTCAAATCTTGCAGGTGTTTCACAGTTATCGCAAGCTTGGTCCATTTTTAATCAAAATACATCCGTTTATCCCTTTGAAAAAATTGATGGCGTCATCTCAAAATTTTGCCGAATAAATTCCATCGAAAAGGTACAAAACATGATGATTATATTCGTGTCATTTACGTATCATTGCCTTCATATTTTTACAATTGTAACGTAATAGTCGCAAAATTTATATTTCTCTAGACTGTTAGTTACGTTCATACGCTATCGTTTTAACAGTATATAATTTTCATAGTACAACGATACCGAAACAATGATAAGCGTAAACTCTCCACTATCTAGAGTCTAGGGCCCTTTTTATGCACTATGCTTATGAGCTTAAGACCTACGCTTAACATTAATTATTTAGAAGGCTAGCAGACGTGTTAAAATCTTTCTAATAGAGCTATTAAAGCACGCAAATGACGTCACAACAGTTCGTTAATAGCGGAAAAGCGTTCTTTAATAGATCTGGTGTAATTTAGATCGGTAAGCTTGGTAGGCATGACGAGAAATGTCAGGTGAATGTCAGTGGCAAATGTCAAATTAAAATTTCTCGTATTTCTGGAGGCGTAAGAACTTCACTAACTTCTTCACAAGACATTTTAACCAATTTTAACTAACAAAAACTCGAATTGATTCGAATTACGGTTGTTGTTATGAAAATTCGAACCTCAAATATTTCGTGGTTATTGTCAGACCAACCCATCACCAACCACGACAAAATTTCCCAGATTTAAAAAAAAGGCAAATTTCAATTAAATTTTGCGAAAAATCGTGCACGGTAGAAAAAATAATATAAATCACTTGTACAATTAACAGATTCTGAATTCTTGTGGTTGGGAATAAGATTCCATTACTACATTTTCTTTTTTCATATTTAATTTTATGATCACATTGTTTTCAAAAGGCAGTAGGTAATTAAAATTTACCAGTTGTGTAACTTCTGTTCAGTGTTAGTGTATTATTATCAAAATTTGAAAAATGTTCCTTCTGTAATGTCTGAGAATTTAGACGTTATCAATTTTTTGGGACAAATATATTTACTTGTCCACTCTCTCTTTTACCTTTCAGTGTAGAGGATTTTGAGTGTTTTTTTTTTCTAACTTGTCTGCACTTTACTCATGTTTCCAGTCACTACATGCAGTTTTTGCCTTCCTACATTTTCCTCGGCTTTCTCTTCCATTCTTGTTAACTTTGGTTTCGCAAACTTTTTTGCTATTCTTTCATCTGGCATTAGTATCATGTTATGCCGCCGCCATCCAAGTTGTTTTCTTTCACTATTATTTTTTAATTTCTACCGATTTTATCCCTAATAGTTTCCTTATTTTCAAAATAAAAAAAAGTTATTGTTTGGAAAATGAAATTTTAAAAATCACTTACCTAAAGTTAATTCGATACTTCAAAAATCTCTTGAAAACCAATTGTCCTCAAAGTTGTGCAGATTAATTCTCTATGCACATTTATGTCAAAGAGCAATAGATACTCGGGAAAACACACAAACGTAAAATGACATAAACTTGACTACTTAATTAGTAATTATGTTACAAGTGATTACTTTTTCCGCATAAAAATAAACTACTAAAATTTACGATCAACGTACTTATTTGTGTCTACTGACTCCAAAAATGAATACACGGTTATGTTATGCTTTTAACTGTAAGAGGGCATTTCACATTTGTTGCTACGAAAGGAAACAAATCTTTGCTTGTCCAGAGGAATGTTCAATTCTAACCAGCAACACGTGAACAACAGACGAAGTTCCATCTGCCCTCACCATAAAACATTAAAAGGGGTGATTTACTCCCCAAGTTATCTTCCCATTATTCCCGTCCACATGAGAATAATTCTCTCTCTCGTTGGGTTAGATTATTGCGTAAGTTTGAAATCTCTTTCCCCCTCTTTGTATGAAGTGCGGTATGCAATTCCAAGCATGCTTTACGTTCTTTATTAAGTTTTTTGTTCTCTCGCAATATATCTTTTTTTGTCGTGCACACACACACAAAAAATGTTTTAAGGCCAAAGTTCAAACTTATATGAAAAACGTCAAAGTGAATGTATCGTCCAGAAGCATGTCATAAATGTAATTTATTTTTGTGACGGAATCGATAAAATATTGCTAACGTGTGTCCGAAATAGGACGAAGTTTGATGGCAAACACGTTATAAAACGGTTGCGGTTGAAATATACAGACTTAGTTTTTCTTTGCAGATGGGAAACTTGCAAATCTCCATTCTGATCCTGCTAGTGATGGCCGTTCTACTGTTGATAGTCTTTCTAGTTTTCTGTTATTCTCTGGACGTTGTCACGTGGATTACCGCCTGGATGTGTTCAAATCGAGAGGAAAAGATCGGCCTAACTCGGTCCAAAGGACACTATAATGCTAACGGATACTTGGTAAGTCTATAATGCTTTTTGAACGAAACAAATTGAATGAAACGCAGTTAAAAGTAACTTGAGCGGAATGTTAAAATATATCCAATCCAGGTTATTTATATTTTAATAATGAAATCTGTTATCTCGTTGCTACATATAAAGAAAAGTATTGCTATGAACAAAAGTGGATCATTGTTTTATGATTTGCTGCAAATAATTCTAGCCCATTTCCATTTTAAGTATCCGAAAAAAAAAAGGTTTTTTGGTGCTGCCGAAACAACCAATGAAATTTAAGCCTAAGTTAACCAATCATCATGCACAATCCTGAATCGTCTGATAATAATTATGATAATGTATAATTTCGTGAATTAAATGAGAGTCTTGTTATGATTAATATTTTATAGGAGTAATTAATTACAATAATGTTTTTGATCAATTTGCTTATGAAATCAGTAGAAAATATCGTGAAAAAAAGTGAGGTTATAAGAAGAAGAACATTTAAACACTGTAAATAAGAATGTAAGTGAGGGAATCAAAGGTATTTTTGATTAGTTATGTTAGAACTGGTTTCAAATTTTAAGGCAGCATACCTAGATAGAGGCTGCTTCAAATAGCTGGAATTGGAATATGTATTAAACAAGAAGAAACGCCCTTTCTGTTAGTAAATACTAAGTAAATTTGCTACTCACATCAAAGTGAAAAACTATATGGATATTGAAAGAAAAATCACAAGGTTACAAAGAATACGGTAACTCGAACTTGCCGAGCCTGTTTACCTACGTATTTTTTCTGCCGCTAATGTGCAGCAAGAAAGTTAGAGGTAATTGTACAACTACGTAATAGTAATGGAGTAGAGATAGTTGTTTACCATGTTTTTGTGGTTTTGTCTTGTAAATTGTAGGTATAATATCGATATTAGCTACTGCAAGAATCAGTCCCAACCTTAAACCACAGAATGAAATATATAAATACCAATAGTTTGGAAGAGACATAAAGCATTTGATTGTCTCTTTCAGCATCTACCGGAGTAGAGTAGTGCTATCCTTGCGTGATCACCATATCTCTTCTTTTCCGAGTCGTGATGTGAGAAAAACCAGTGACAAGCTCTTCGTGTTTATTTTTGACTTGTATTAGTAAAATAAATTGTTTTGTTTGTTGCTCCGTGTTTAACTTCTATACTGATGACCACTGTCCTGACACTTATCTACCAAATGCAATCCCCCAGCTATTGTGTGGCACTCTCCGCGCGCAGTAGTATCGACCACTCGATGCGGTCAGCTACATCGAGTGCAGTGGCGGGACCTGATACTCGCGCGTTTGCAAACTGATGTAACAAATAAATATAAAGAATCAAAACTAAACGTATTCTTCAAAATTATAAAAGACGTTTCTAGCTAATACGACCTGCCAAATGACCACTCTGCACGTGGACGTAAACACTGAGGGCTTCATACAAGTAATAAACATCGACCATCGGGGTATCGGGTAGCAGCTCCCGACCGTCCGACACGTTTACGCCAAGGCATCCTCTCTCTCGCGCGCGCCGCTGTTACGTACTTGGTAGATCGTTGTCAGGCCTTTACTGATGACGCAGTAAGTAGAATTCAACGCGAAACACAAAAACCTTCTTGTGGAATCAGGTTAAATGTGCAATCTGAGTTAAGTCAAAACAGCAGCAACATATGTCTGAAACAGAGAATGCAATCCCCACGATCTCCGCAACAAGATTTTCCCTCCCGGTATTTTGGGACAACAAGCCAGAATTATGATTTGCTATGGTGGAACCCACATTTTCCACCTTCCAACCAAAAATCATGAAGGAAAAAACGAATGATAATCATGTTCTGCCTCCCCACATCGCCGTCGAACCACATTGTAAAATCAGATACCGTACACACGACTAACACAAGTCACCATCACCAGGACTTCGCTTACGGAGACCCAGCATCTGAAGCAGCGGCTTTTATGTCAGCAATTGGGCTCCCGAAAACCTACGCAATTCTTACGTTATAAAAATCACTTACAAATGGTGGCAACTTCCCATATGTCAACGATACGCCTCTGCGAGTGTTTTCTGGAGCAGCAGATGGCGACGAACATCCAGTCCATGCTAATTTGGCGCAAATGCGAAAAAATGCACAGCACCTTGCAGTTTTGCAATACACTTCCTACACAGGAGCCGATATCAGTGTAGTGCCTCAAAGTTTAAAAATCTGAATTGTTCCGGGGTAAATAATACAGGCTAGGCGTTTTAATTTACAGTTGGCAGACAGTTCCAAAGTCACAGTGCTCGGATAAAAATTGTTAAACTTAAATCTTAGCCAGGGTCGTGATTTTTAATGGACTTTCGTAGTAGCAGATATCACAGACTTGATATTAGGAACTGATTTCATACACCACTGTGGACTCTTATAGATATGAAAAACTAGAAATCATAGACTCACTAACGTCGTTAGAAGTGTCGTATCGGGTTAAAACCGCGCACCAGCCTGGCATACGACCATCTTTTTCGGAACCCCCGACCCGTACCAGACACTTCTTCGGAACTTTCCAAATAGTCTTTGACAATTTCAACAACAAAAGTAACACAAGTCAAGAGACGCCTGGCTTCAGATAAACATCAAGCTGTCAGACAAGAATTCCAACAGATCGCCATGGGCCAGTCCGCTTCATATGGTAACGAAAACGGACGATACGTGAGATTATCTTTAGCACCCGATAATCTCACTCAAACCCAGTCCCACACATTCACGAATTGAGCCACCATCTACACGGCAGGGCCATTTTCAGTAGTCTTGGTCTCACAAAGACGTGTTTACAGATTTACTTCCTCCTGGACGATCAACCTAAAGCGGCTGTCACAACTTTCTGGACCAAGTCGTGCAGGGACTCGATTTTGTATATGCTTATACTGACAACATCGCAGTAACAAAGTCAGCAGAGCAAGAAGACCTAACCTAGTTGCGTGCCGTGTTGGAAAGTTTCGATCAATATGAAATAGTAATCAATCCTATAAAATGTGTTTTTGGGGCACATGGCCTAAACTTTTTAGGTATAAAAATCAGCACCGATGAGACCTAGCCTTTACAAGAAAAGGTAGAAGCCATCACTGCCATCACATTCCTAAACACCACGAAGGAACTGCAACGTTTTATGGGAATGGTTAACTATTATCGAAAGTGTCTTACAAACTCAGCTACCATTCAAGCCCCTCTCAGTCAGCTGCTTGGACGATGTGGTAGAAAAAATGCTAAAATAGAGGCAAATCTAGAAGCGTTACAATCATTTGAACGGTGCAAAAATGATTTAGCGAACACCACCACACTCATCTATCCCAAAAACCACATTATTTATACATCAATGCTTCCGTAACAGGTATTGGTGGAATTTTGGAGCAAATTGTAGGTGGTATTCCTAAACCACTCGCTTTCTTCTCTCCCAAACTAACTCCCACAGAAAAGAAATACAGTGCGTATGACAGAGAGTTATTGGCCAGCTTCATTATCGTCCTTTTCCAAAATTCACTATCTTTACAGATCACAAACCCCTTGTATACGCTTTTAATCAAAAGCCCAAGAAGGATGACAGTCAGGGCAGCTAGATCTGATTTCGCACCGACATCCAGCATGTCATTGAGAACCAACTGATACCTTGTCAAGAATCTCAGAAATTTACAACTTTATTTTCGACTACGACACGTTGGCGTCATCACAAGAAGCAGGTGATGCACTGAAAACTCTCCTACAAGACTAAGTAATGTTCAACTTCCGGTAATTCCCCTTACTAGGTGGTAATGAGGAACTGTGGTTTGAAACCTCTCATGGAAATCGTTTGTACGTACCCGTATGAAAAAAGTGGCATAGTGTTTTATTTTTTCACGCATTTAAATGAAAAAATGTGTCGTAGCGTGTTATTTTAAACGGAACGCGTTTAAACGCTAAACATAAAAGCCTGCCGTTGCGTTGCTATGACGATTCATCAACACATTTGTCAGAAATTAAAATGTATCCAAAAATTTTATAATTTAATCTTTATTTAAGTGCTTTGTATTAGTTTTTCCGGTGTTTTGTGGTAATTTGTGTGTTCGTACAATGGAATTGGACAGCGATGAAGATTTCTCGTGCTCCCCTGAAGAAACTGTCAAGACGGCAACCATACGGCTACATTGAATCTATTGCCGGAAAAATCCAAAGGCCAATATTTAAAAGAATATGACTAATTTATGAAATGGAGAGCTGAAAAACAAGTCCAATAATTTTACTGAAAGAGTTTTATTAGCTTACTTTGAAGAAAAGTCAAAATAGCGGAAGTCGTCATCACTTTGGTCGACTTACTCTAAAGTTTACGCTATTAACAAATAACAATGTGGATAGAAATAAATTTCACTTTTTCTTGCAATTTGGAAACGGTAATTGCAAAACCCAAGTTATGAGTATCAATACTTTTTCTAAAATTCCTTCCATTAATGTTAAATACCTCAGTTTACAAAATGCGGCGGTTGGAAATCAAATGCTGTTGCAGAAGGATACGTTGATGAATGATGAGCAGTACGCGGAATTAAATCTCACTGCTGCAATCACCCAGTGTTTTACGGCGAGTAGTGGGGACGCTTTGATCTAGTCTACAAAGACGTTGCCAGTGCGTCTCACTAGAAGTGTTTACGCCTGCTAAAAAAACTACTTCTATAGTACTCTATTACTTCAAATAATAACACTCGGTGTCCTTTTTAATTTTTCAACCATAGGACCACAGATTTGTTATCTGTTATCTTGAAATGTTATATTATGTTGTTATAGTCCAAAAGGAAAAGACATTTGTAATGAAAGTATCGAACGCGTTAGATTTTATTCTGCACCTTAATGATGACTGCGCGAGTAAAATCTTCACAGAACAAAATTCCCAAAATTTTATTTCCAATCCAGCAAGTTCCAGTGCGAATAATATCAACAATGATGTTCTTTCAGTGGTTGAAAAGTTTATAAATATCAGTTCTTGTAGCAATAAAGCCTTTTCAGTAGTTT